CCCCAAAACCCCAAAACCCCAAAACCCCACTCCAAATCCAGTATACTGAAGTTAACAAATATACTATAACTTAGGGTTAAATAGGTCTTGAGTAGATTTTCATGAAGGTTTTTTTGGGCACTTGAGGGTGCCAAGTGGGGTCTGTGTGGGAGTGTCTGAACTGGGTGGGGGACGGGGAAGGAGCTTGGGTGGGATGGGGTTGAGGGATGCCTTTGGTGCATTTTTGTGGGTGTGGAGGGTTGGATTTGGTAGTGTTGGATTTGTTGTAAGAGGAGATTTTTAGGTCGAGGTTTTGGGGTTTTGGGGGTGGGTGAGGTGAGATAGGAGGTCGGTTAGGGGATTTTTTGTGTTGAGTGCCTAGCACGGAAGTCTTTGGAAGAGTTAAACCTTTAAAGGTGAGATGAAGATTCTTGTTTGTTAGTGGTCTAGAACGCTCAGGGAGTTCAGGATAGGGAGTTTTCACTCAAGTCTGCTTCTTATTAAAATGAGATATTATTATTCCTGTTATATTTATAAAATTTATCCTTAAAAAGTTTCGATAAATATTTGGAAAAAGGAGAATTCTTCTTAAATGTCTTTAGATTTTCTGAAGTTATATTTGAGCTGTGCTCTGTTGATTGAGGATTCTGGGAGGTAATTGGAGTAGGAGGAGATTGAGGTAATAAGAGTTGTATATCTATTAATAAGTGTTTTACATCTACTTTTAGGGCTAGTTAATTGCTTTCTGGGCTGCTGACTCCCTCTCTTGTTCCAGTCGGCCTTATCTGTATGTGAAGACTTCAGCCTTGAGTTTCTTGATATCTATAACGAAAATTAGGATTCTTTTTGGAATAACCTAACTTACATTTCTCCTATTCTGGTTGACAGAAGTCTGTGGCTTATTTATTCGGGCATAGTTTATCAGCACTGAAAGCTCTATTTCTGCAAGGAGGCTTGGCTACCTCTTTGGGAATTTTTAGTATTTTAGATATCTGATCACAGGAGGAAACCAGAAGTTTCTTCTTACTCTAAAACCAAGCTGATGTCAGCATTTAAGTGGCATGTTCTAATCTATTAATATTGATACCTTAAAATATCGCCAGATTATGTGAGGGATTATTATTTATGTAAAAATCTGAGGGCTGATTCATGGATCAAAATTTATCGATACCTCATGCCATGCAAATAGTTACTAGTAAAAGTAATCAAATTTTTATAAAGATGAGATGTTTTAGGGTATGCGATAGTAGCTCACACATGTGTAAAGGTGGGTTTTTGGTTAAGGTCAAAATCATATCGAACCTAGATGTATTGAGGTTCCTCACTTTTGTATCCTAGGATATGTATAAAAATCTTGGGTTCAGGAAATAGAAGAAGGTTTTAGGAATTTTATTATTGTTCTTCCTAAACCATATCACCAAATCTTGTAAGAACTAATTATGATAGGCCTTAGTAATGCTTTAAACTAACAATATAAGCTTAATCGAGAGAGGATTAGACTATACCTTGCATTTTCGGCCATTTCGGTGAAGAAGCCTTGATTGTTGGGATAATAAGCAAGGTTTATAACTGCGACTTCCTTTATTTCAAGCTTTTCTCTATAAAATTTACACTCTGGTGTTTAGGTAAGTCTTACTCCTTGCTTTGTGGGGATCTCATTTATCCTCAACAGGGATTGCAGAGAGGTTTCGAATCTTTTGAAGGTCATTATAGTCTCTATCCAGTTGATTCCATCTTCTAGCATGCTTTACATAGCGCTGGAATGATTTCTTTGGAGAGATTATAGCTCTGGTAATAGCAGTCCATCCGTCCAATTGATCAAAATCATACTGAGGAGGCGGGCAATCAAAGCTAAAAGGGTTATTGTAGAGTGTGTTTCTGTCATATTTCATCATTTCTAATATTTTGTCTCTTTGAGATAGCCTTTTATCCATTTATTTTTCAAAAATATTTAGAATCATGGGGTTTTGGGGTTTTGGGGTTTTGGGG